TGGATGGGAGCCATCCCACAATGCAAAGACAAATAGTTCAATCCAGTGAAACTTTATAAAGAATAAAAAATGTCCAACAGTGAATATTTAATGAGAAGCAAATATGCTTTCGATTGATGGAAAAGTATAAGAAAGCATGTTATAAAACTGTACAAGTGCGTCTCCTGTCCTTCTGAGATTAGACTTGGACTTGAGATTATCTTGCCCCAGCCTCTTGGGTGCTGAGATTACATGTGTGGGTCATTTAGCTCCCCTTCCTCCTCCTGCTTCTCCCCCTCCTCTTCCTGTTTCTCCTCTTCCTCCTCTTCCTCCTTCTCCTCCTCCTCCTCCTCTTCTAATTTTTTAAAGGAACCCATCTAATGAATTGCAAGGACCTACAGATCTGCTCTAGGACTTTCCTGATGAGGGCTGGGGACCCAGCTTACATGACAGAGTGTAGTTCAAGGCCATCTATTATTATATTATTAAGGCCAATCGGGAATTGATGAGAACCTGTCTCAAAAAAAACAATAAAATAAGTAAATATTTTAAATCCATTTTTCCTTTTCCCTAATGTCTTTACTTTTTATTTTTAAATCTATTTTTGTAGCAACTTTGTCCAATAGAAATGTAATATGACACACAGAATTTTAAGTGTTATAGAAGGTGTATTGAATATGTAAAAAGAAAACAGGGCTGGGTGTGGTAGCAGAGGCAGATGAACCTCTGTGAGTTCCAGACCAGCCAGGGCTGCATAAGATCCTGTCTCAGCAACAACAAAAGTTAAAAAAGAAAACAGAAACACATCTTAATAAGTTTCACTTAACCAGGTATCTTGATTTTAATGTACAATACAGAAAATATTGAGATATTTTACATTTTAAAATTACTATCTAATATCCAATCATCCAATATGATGTATATTATTTTACATTGATAGACTCCTTGCTTGTGTGTTTAAGTATGGTACATATTTACATTTTCAGAACATTCAGTTTGGGCCACCAACATTTTATCCACCTAATTAGTATATGTGGCTCCTGGCTTCCAAATTGGAGAAGACAGTTCTAGAAAGCAGCTAGCATTTGTTAAGTGTTTACTATGTTCTGAGCACTGCCCAGAGTTTACCATGTGGAGACTGTAACCTCTTAGGTCTCACAATAAGTCCAAGAGGCTACGCCTGTCATCTTCTTAAGCATGCATTGCTCTTGCAAGGACATGCTCGTAAATGGTTGGGAGGTTCGCAAACCACTTTTCTGCTGGGATTGGGTAGAAGTCTGACTGTGAGGATGTGAGGAGACAGGAAGTGAGAGAATTGGCCAGAGACTAAATTATTCAGAAAGTTGGAGGGTCAGCCACTTCTCCATCTACACATTCTTAAAACCCCAGTTCTTAGAGACAGAGGCAGGAGATTCACTTTGAGTTTTGGGGTAGCCTGGTTTACATAGTGAGTTCCAAGTCTCTGGAGTGAGACCTCACTTGTTTCAGAGGGAAAAACTGATGGTGGATGAATAAGAAGAAAAGTCAAGAGACAGAGGGAAACATGACGAAAAATCTCCAGAAGAGTGGGAGACATGAAGGGGAGGTCGGCTGGAGAAGAAATGGGGAGAGAGAGAGAGAGAGAGAGAAAGAGAGAGAGAGAGAGAGAGAGAGAGAGAGAGAGAGAGAGAGAGAGAGAGATGTGAGGATACCATGTTAGATGGAGTTTCCCACACAGCCAAGGCTCTGATGGAGAAATTACCTGGCCTGGCTAGACACTGCACCACTATCTTGAAGCTAAAGGGAAGTCTTGAAGATGCCTTATTAGCTTATCACAACAAAGAGGGCAGCTGCTACCCAGGTGACTTTTCCTCAGGGCTTTTATGGAGTCGGGTGTTGGCCCTGGGCACCATGTGTTACTGATTTAATATCTGCAGACTTCCCATAGAACCTTTGCCATTTACAACCTATGCATCCCAGGCAGGATGCTTGATCAAGTCCAGTACAAAAAGAGACTGGATTTGGTCCATGCCATCTCAGGGACTGAAGGAAGAGAAGCAGACAGAATAGTACAGATGGCTCAGGTTGGATTAACAGAGTAGGAGCCAGGATCTCTGAAGAAACTGAAGGAAAAGATTGGACAGATGTTGAGTGAGCTGAAACAGCCAGACAGATGTGTGGAATGTAGGGGCTTTAACTGTGTGTGATGGGCCTCCATCTCCTGCAGAGCACAACAGTTTGGATGGGAAGGGAGAGCACAAGATTGGATAAAGTGGGCAGCAGGCTGAAGGTGAAACGCAGGGGCATTTAGGTAAAGGAAGGTGGTAGAAGGAGAGGTATGCAAACTGTGGAGGGGCAGAGCCTCCATCTCCTGCAGAGCACAACAGTTTGGATGGGAAGGGAGAGCACAAGATTGGATAAAGTGGGCAGCAAGCTGAAGGTGAAAGGCAGGGGCATTTAGGTAAAGGAAGGTGGTAGAAGGAGAGGTATGCAAACTGTGGAGGGGCAGAGCAGGGCAGAGGGCAGGAAGAGAGAACCAGGTGAAGGTCAGAACTTCCATGCAAAATCCAGAAAGGGATGGAAGCCTTGGCTACTTCTCCAGCTGCTGCAGGGGAGTAGCTAGGAAGAAGAGCCTCTAAGGGGACCAGAAATGAGGAAACCAGGCAGGGGATTAATGCCTGCAGATGGCAGAAGGGAGTTAGCGAATTCTAAGAGAGGAATAGAGAGGGAGGGTGAGTGAAGAACTGAGCAGGTACTTTAGATGCAAGACTGGATAGTGAGGACAGTCCAGCTTCCGATCTGATTGCCTCCTTTAAGGAGTTCTTAGCTACGACTGCCCATACTAGACATGAGGGTAGAAGACAGGAGCCTGAGGATGACCTGTGGGATTCAGACCACAGAGACCGGCAAGGGGGCCTGTTCTGTCGCCTCCCCCATAGAGCCCAGCACTTGGTTGTCTCCCAGTGCTTAAGTCTAGACAATTTTATTCAATGTAACCTGCATTCCTGCCCAGACCCTGCTCCAGATCCCCACCTCTGCCACTTTAGTGACCAACAGACACCCCTGCCATGCCACCCAGGATGTGGCCAAGGAAAAGAGGGAGGGAGGGATTGGTCCAGAGGAAGCAGGAGGTGAAAAGTGACAGAGACAGGTACAGGGTTGGGGGTTCGGGAAAGCGTCATAGGAAGCAGGAGAGATCCGGAGAAGGCAGGGAGAGACAGGGTGCTTAGTGTGAATCAGGTAAAGAGTGGGAAACCCAAGTGTCTTCTGGCCCTGGGTCATCCAGGACAGGAAGGGCTGCAAGGTGCGGTCCCCTTTCAGCCCCTTCTCGCCGCCTCCTCCCCACCTCGCCCAAGGGGGCCGGAATGGTACAGGCTTGCGGGGGCTTTTCGGAGCAGTCGAGTGGAAAATAGACTTTAACCCGCTTTGTAGCTGCGAGGGCGCCCCGAGCGCTTCTCCGGACCAAGGCTCCCAGCATTCCGACGGGCCGCTGCAAGACCTGGCCTGGAGTCCCCATAGTCGTAGAGGATGTAGACCCCACTGCCCTTCGGGTTCCGGAGGCCCAGCTAGGAGGTGATAGCTTGGGTTTTGCTGTGGCCAGTTGGGCTCACCAGGGCACCGATTAGAAAACAGAATTCTCTCCACTCCCCAACCCCCGCCATATGCTAGCAAAGACTGACTGGGTCCGGAACCCCTAACTAGGAGCCCCCTTAGGCCACAGCACCCTGGAAGGTTGAGGTGGATAGATTGCAGAGTACAGGTTCTAATAGTTAACCACCCTCTTGCCCTCTAAGCTTAACGCCCGCCATGGAAACTAGCTTGAGCAGATTGGGACACTGTCCCGCGGTTGCAGGTCGCATGTCCAAGAGGCCAGGTTGCCACTGCCCCCCAAGGACCACTGTCCTCTGGAGAACCACGCGAACAGCAAGGCCAGCTTCAATTTAGGAAACAGTGACCCGAAGACCCGATTTCGGCTTTGTCGTCTAATACTGGAGCCCAAGGAAAGGAAATCGCTCTGAGCTTAAGGCCAAGGTCCGGTGGAAGATGATCGCTGCAGGGGTGGGGGGCTGCCAAAATCGCTTCGTGGGAACGCTGCGAACTGCTGCGGGAGAGCTGCGGAGCGATGAGTTCTGTGGCTCCTCCCCGGACAATGCGAACCTGGCCCCTGAGAAAAGAATGTATATTCCGTTTGAAGGAGTGTTCCCCTAATCCATAAAATGCGAAATTTCAGAAACATGACTGCAGCCTCAGAAAATAGCTCCAGAGGCTGATGGTGGGTGAGGGGGAGAGCTCCCTTAGGTTAGGCGAACGTGGATCAGGTTCTCTGGAGAATCTAGGCTGCACCCCAAACACCCATCCTAAGCTTGAATCCAAGTTCTCTAGGAACTGAAACGACATCCCAGAACGAAGAGATGGGGCTCAACTGAGGTACGCGCTAGAAGAGGATTTTGTATTTTTTCCCCTCAAGCTTAGGCTTTGTAGATGTCCCCCTCAGAGCAGACTGTGGTGGAGGCTAAAGGACCAAGTCAGAGAATCAAGATGCAGAGTGGAGGGTAGGAGGAGGACATTAGATCAAGCACCAATGTTCCAGTCCGCTTTTTGCCTCCGACTGGGGACCGTATCCCCACCCGCCATCCTTCGCCCCGCCCCGCCCCGCCCCCCACCTTGGGGCAGGTGAGCGGTGGCCAATGGGGGAGCGCGGGGCAGGTGCCCGCTAACTCTCTCCTCGCAGAGCCGCAGCTCTGGCCAGGCCCGAGGAGCTAGGAGGATCACGGGCGGTGGTCGGTCACAGCTTGACTAGTAAGGGAGAGAGCCAGGAGGACCGCAGAAGCGGCTCTCAGTAGCACAGGCAGCCCGCGCCCGGGTGTTTGCAGGGAGCTGCGTGCTGGGCCGCAGGGACCACGCTCCAGGCGGTGCGCAGTGGCCCAACTCGGTGTTAGGGCTCTCGCACGCCCCTCGCCGCCCCGCTCCTGGCTGGTCCGCAAGGGCCGAGCGCTGGCGGGTGGGCGGGCGGGGGAGGTGAAGGGTGCGGGCGTGAGTGCATGTGCCAGGTTTGGTGCACACCCCGCACGGCGGCAGCGCCGGGGCACCGAGCGTTCCCCAGAGCCCCGCTACCTCACTCCGCTTCGGCGGCCGCGACCATGTTCCAGCCCGCGACTAAGCGGGGTTTCACCATAGAGTCCTTGGTAGCTAAGGATGGTGGCACCGGCGGGAGTCCTGGCAGCGGGGGCGCGGGCTCCCATCCGCTGGCTGTGGCCGCCTCAGAGGAACCGCTCAGGCCCACGGCGCTCAACTACCCTCACCCCAGTGCGGCCGAGACGGCCTTCGTGAGTGGCTTCCCTGCCGCTGCAGCTGCGGGCGCCGGCCGCTCGCTCTATGGAGGGCCGGAGCTGGTGTTCCCAGAGGCCATGAACCACCCGGCTCTGACGGTGCACCCGGCACACCAGCTGGGCTCCTCCTCGCTGCAACCCCCTCACTCTTTCTTCAGCGCCCAGCATCGGGACCCTCTCCACTTCTACCCCTGGGTGCTTCGGAATCGCTTCTTTGGCCACCGCTTCCAGGGTGAGTGTCCACGCTGTGTTCGTGACCCGGGGATACAAGGGAGGCTCAGTGCGGCGGCGGGGCTTTTCAGAAGTTGTGGGGGAACAAGGCTTAGGGATCAGCCTTGACTGTGCGCAGGCGGTCCAGCCTGTGGTCTGCTGTGTTGGTCTCCCACCCAAGAAGTGAGATCCGGACTGCCAGGCTTTCCAAGTAATGAAGCCGGTTGGGACGGAAGGGTGAGAGCATCCTATGAGCTTTTTCAGACCCTCCTGTGGCCAACCTTAATCTCCTTTAAGACTAAACCAGTCCCATCCTTGAAAATGCTGGCCCTCCGCCCTTCCCGCGCCAGAGCTTTGAGCTGTGACCATACTTCGCTCTCTTGGTCACCACAACTCGTGGCACATCTGGGCAGGGGAAAGTCCACTCGCACTCCCTGGCTCTGTGGGAAGCAGGGTAGCATGGTGCGTTCACTCAGATGCCTTGGGACTTTTCTCAGCAACCTTGGCCAGACTTTTCCCAGTCCCGTTGGCCTCTCTCCGACCCAGAGTGGAGAAAGCTTTCAATAAGCAAACCGGCTTTCTTCAGCACTGACCTCCAGGAGCCCACCCGGCTGTTACAGCTCAGGACAGTTCTCTGAGTGGAAGTGGAGGAGGGGGGCTTTTAAGGTCATATCTAGTCTTACCCCACCCGTCTGCAACCGAATCTGGTTTGCTAATTAAGACCCCTCCAAAAGCTTTAAACACACACACACATCAGTTATCTGACTTTCCTAAAGAAAAGAGAGTTGTGTTCATTGCAGATAATTTTCTTCCTTGGATGAGTACTTTTCTTTCATTTAAAAAAAAAAACAGAAAAAGAAAAGATTGGCCTTGGTTCCTATAGCAGTTGCTCAGTTCCCACTGTGATATAGACTTGACCTACAAGTAAATTAAGCGTTTCATAAAACAGCAGCAAAAATAAGACAAGGTTGGCACTTTAGCTCCAGGAGCTACATTAAGCCAGAGCTGCACCGCCAAAGTGAATCTGTGATATAATTATTTATATGATAAAAGAAAAAAATTGTTTAGCTTTTAGGTATAGTCGCTTGATTGACTTGGAGAAAGCTATTTGGAGAGGTCCCCGATTTGTCAATGACCCCAGTCTCACCTGGCCACTACATACTACCCGAGAAATTCCTGTGTTACCAATAGTGTAATTACTTCGGCGCGTATTTCTGTAGGTACATTTTCAAGGCGGGAGCGGAAAAGCCTAAGGTATTACTGGCTTTAGGTCACATTTCCCGTCACTTAACATCAATGCTTACTACTAAAATGAGGTTTTATTCAAATTTAGCTAACTACCCGAGCCCCCCGGGGGGGGTCTATCTTCAGCTTCACGCCCACTGGCGGAGTTTTGATTCTTCCAGGATGTGAGCCCACGGCTCAAGGAACCTGGGTTAGTGAAGGATCCCGGACCCTGGAAGACAGGGTGTAAAGGGCTTCTAGCCAGTACCTCAGTCCAGTGTCTCAGTCCAGTGCCTCGGCATACTCAGGATGCTTCCTGGATGGGGCTTTTTCGGCCCTTAGTCCGGAATCTCACGTTTTTCTCTCCATCTTTCACACCTTTGGCCCCGCACGCTGATCCGGCTTGCCCGAGGCTGGAGGTGCATTTTGAGAGAGATCAGCTCTCGGGGCTCGGAGCATCCCCAGCCAAGCGAGGCCAATACATCCTCCGCAAAACCCTCCAGGAAATTTCCGCTGCTCTCTAAGCCATCGGTCCCAGCGGTTACGTAGTAGAGTTACACAAACGGTGGGCTTTTTCTCTCCAGAACCGCGTCTCCACGCGGAGAAGGATCCGAGTGTGACCGCGCTTGCGAACTCGGAAGTCCAATGGGTGCTGAGCAACCCTTTCCAACTTCGAAGTGCCGCGGCCCTGCAGCCCGCATCCCGGCGACGCCGCCTCTTCCAGATCCCACCGGGCCTCGGGGCTAAGAACCCAGCTGTCCCAGGCCCGCCGGCGCCGGCGCCGTGTTTTCTGGAGAACCGGGTGTCCGCGATGCTCACTTCAGTCCCGTTTTGATGCAAGAAACGAAACCCTACAAGAACGAAAAGGAACCCGCGTAAGCGTTTTGTGCGCAGCGCTCCCGGGCAACGCGAGCGGGTGGCGCCTGGAAGCCGCTTCTTCCCTAAGCAAAGAGGAAAAGCCGGGGTGCACGGTCAAGACCTCCGAACTGGGGGCCAAACGGGAAGAACACAGGTTGGCGTCGTTTCGGTGTTATTTCCCCGGGATCAAGAACTTTCTGAATTGAAAAGCTACGTCTGAAGGGGACTAAGGGAGACTCAGCCCTGCCAACCCTGCTGCGGTTGTGGGCACTAGCTTTAAAGGACGCCTTTGTTCAGGCAGGAGGAGGAGGGAAGAGGCTATCTCTGCTTTACTGTAGTCGACCGCTCCAGGTTCCAGCTCCAGGCTATTCCTCCGGGGCACCAGGCTCCAAGTCTGTAGCTAAAGCGGCCTCTCCATCAAGGACTGCAGCGTCAACCCAGGGCGCTTCGGATTCTTGCTCCCTTTCCGCAGCCTAGTTCTTAGTATCTCCACTGCTAGCTCCCAGCCATCGCCTTGCAGCGGCCTGGAGAGAGAGAATGTGGGAATTTTCACGTCCTAATGCCTAATTCCAGGGAAGGATGGGTTCATGTTCCTTTCCTACGGGTGTCTGAAACTGACACCTTTTCTCACAGCCTGAAATTACTTCGTCCAAATAGGCTGCACCCTAGCCTCAAGCTTGGTCTGTCCCGTGGTTCAGTCAGAAACTGTATAGGCTCCTCTGGAAGTGGTAGGGAGAGGTGGGCCCTTTCCCATGGGTCAGAGAGAGAGAGAGGGGGGGGTTCAGTACACAGACACCTCGACACCGTTGTCCTTACAGAAACATGTAGCCTTGATTAATATCGTCAGATGTTTGGTTTTGCGCTAAGCATCATTTTTCTCACTGAAAAAGGCTTTGGTATTTTGTTCTTTTAATTAAATGACTCGTCATCATTTATCAGTATTTTGGATAATTTTGTAGCCTCAGGCTTCCTTCATACTTGGCTCACGTAGACCCTATGATTCAACACATGCATATGAACACATCCTGGGGCACATGCTAACCACTACAGCAGGACATTCCTTCCGTTTTTCTGAACTAAGCAAGATTGGGGAGTGGAGGCAAAAAAGCTTTGGGTCAGGAAAGAGCTAGTTCAGGCTGTCCTCATTCTGTGGGGTTTAAACAGACAGGGAGAGCTTTTCTCCACTATCCAGGTGACTGACACACTCCCCAGCACCTCAGTGCAGCCATTACAGAACACAGCAGCAGAACCCAGTCCTGCTTTCTCTGCTTTCTCTGCTCCACGCTTCCCAGTACACCTCTGCATCCCCACTTACTCAGACCTGCGTGACTGTCTACACTGCGACCTCACTGCTGTCTAAGACAACTTAGTTGCCAGACAACTGAGCAACTGGGACCAAAGTCCATGAATGGGGAGACAGAAAAGCCTCTCCCCACAACCTCTTCTCTGGCTCATCTGTCCAGAGGAAACTCCCTTTGGGGTTTTACCTGGACTCTGAACAGTGTTGGCTTTCGAGGCAATTTACTCAATAAAGGCTTCTCATCCACTTCTCCTGCCTCCCCCTGGACTTCCAGATTGGTCCTCACCCAAGGCTTTGAATCTTCTTACCCACCCCAGGAGTATGCTTCTTATTTTTTTCCCTCTTACTCTCTCTGGCAGACCATCTTTCCTGACTGTCCCTTTACTACCCAACTGAAATTCCCCCTTCTTCAGCCAGGCCAATGGGGACCCTGGGTCTGCTCTTGGCACCAACCTTAGGGGGAGATGTCCTTCCTTCACTTCTCAGTGATACCCCCTGGTCCTGTTGTATAGCAGTGCAGATGCAGCCCCTTAAAATGTGTAGGTGATGGGAGGTCAATCTCAGACAACTGTGTTCCAAAGAAGATTCCAGCAACCCAGTTGATTGGCATAGACTTCCAAAGCCCAAAGACAGTCCGGCAGTTGCAACCAGTAGAGGGATACAGTTAGTCTACTGACTGAATTCAACAAGGACACCTCAGGACATGACTTTCACTTACATAGCTCTTTCCAAAAATGGGAGATCTCATCTGAACTATCCGGATCTCTGTCTTCAGAGTAAAACAGTAGGTCCAGTTGAGTCAACCCAGTCAGTGGCCATCTCTGAGGAAATTAATTGGATCAGTCAATCTCAACAGTTAACTCTGTCAAAACATCCCATCTAGGGCTCTGTGTTGTTGGGTCAGGGGAACTGATGCAGGCCCATGTGTGAGGACCTGTGTGTGATGGTCTCCGGGTTTTTAGAGTCCTTGAGAATGTGCAACTGTGTGAGGGCCCAGTGGGGGGCTCGCCAAGCCAGAGCTGTGGATTGAAACCTGCTCTGGATTTTATACTTCCTGACCACCACCCCAGTCTTATTCAGTCCTCTTCAGTGTAGGAGTGGAGTGTGGGAGCTTGGCCAAGGGACAGTCACTCTCTGAAATCTTATACAGTAATGGGAGGAAAAGACAAAGGGGAAGCTGGAGTGTATATTTACACACAACCATAGGGAAACAAATGTATCTGTGCGTGTGTGTGAGATACATATATTCAATCACATATATATCATATATATACATATATGTGTGTGTATATATATATATATATCACATATTCATGTATACAACATATACGTAAACATGTATATGATATTTACTTCCATGTTCTTTCAACTCAGGACTACTCAGTGAGAAAGCAGGAGCCTTCCCCATGAGAATGGCTTCCACTCTTCCAGCCTTCCTTCACAGTGGGCCTGCCTTCACAGTGTTTAAGGCCTGAAGGGCAGAGAGAAGTAGATTTGAGAACTCCAAGGTCTGTCTGCCTGCTTGCTTGAGCCAGCTTGCTTTCACCTCCTGCGTGGTGGAGCCTAGGCCTGCTGGCTGGCAGGATTTTTCAGCAGGATAGTAGTAGCCTGAGCACTTAGCTGCAGGAGTACTTTAGAGGACTTCTGGGTAGTCTTCCTATCAGCCTTGCTCTTCCCCCATCACCTTTCTGAGCCCTGTCCTCTTTAGCTAGTCTGGGGAGGAGACTTTTTTTTTTTTGGAACTAAATAAATTAAAAGATAATCAATCGTTGGGGCCTGGGTGGAGGTAGCACTATAATGGCACAGGAACAGACCTAAGAGATTTCTGTCATCCCTTGGTCTTTCTGCTGCCCCTGGCAACACTGGATTTGAGCCTGTTGGGCCCTCATCAGGCCTGGGCTCGCATCTTGGCTCAAGAGTGTATTCTGCTCGTGGTTCCCTTCGGGTAGCTCTGGAGTGAGGTTTCAGGGCAGCGACAAGGGAAATGGGAGGAGGTGTCAGGATTGCAGAGGTGGCAGGGCACCCCGAGGTAGAGGCCTGCTACTCATCCAAGCCCCTTCTCTCTATCCTTACCTGCGTGTGCTGCTGGTGCCTCTGGGCTGCAGCAAGCGACGTTCCCCAGGACGGGCTGCTTTTGCACGGGCCCTTCGCACGCAAGCCCAAGCGGATTCGCACAGCCTTTTCGCCCTCGCAGCTGCTGCGGCTGGAGCGAGCCTTTGAGAAGAATCACTACGTGGTGGGCGCCGAGCGGAAGCAGCTGGCAGGCAGCCTCAGCCTCTCCGAGACTCAGGTGAGCATTCTCCCGCCGCAGTCTCAGGGTGCGGGAGGTGAGCGGTTGGGTGCAGGTTTCTCTACTCCTCCGGTTCCAAAAGCCACCTGCGGCGTTGATGTCGCATCCCTGGAAACCTTACCCTTTCTCTAGCCTTGCCCTGCTAAGTTTCAGGAGTGTTGTTTTGTAATGAGACGTGGTCTCCCTATGTAGCCCAGGCTGGCCTTGAGCTCGAAGCTATCCTCCACTCTCTGTTTTCTGTGTTCTGGAATGGCATATATAATAAGTCAACTCGCCCAGTTTCCCCGGTCTTATAATCAGCGCTAGGGATCCCACCAGGAGCACAATAGGCCGGATTTGGTCCGTGGTGCGACGAGGCTGCAAAGATCCCTAGCCCCTCTCCAGTCTAGATGACACAGTATCCACAAGTCTGTCTTCTCGGCTCTGGCGAAACTGGGAAGACCTCATCTGACCTCAAGTACCTGTGGTGTCTGGGCAAAGAAAGCCAGTGTCAGCTTTGCAACAAAGGAATGAGCCATCGAGAGATCAGCTCCTAACTGGAGAGTGGTCCTGATCCAGGCACAGGGCATTCGCTAGGGTTTTGAGAACTGTGACTTATTCACCTTATTCACGGTTCACTGCCTCCAAGAGTGTCTAGGGAGCTGTCAGTAGACTTAGGCACGCAGGGCCTGTGGAGTGTTGAGGGGATGAACGCCATTGGTGTTGGGGGGGGGGGCTTTGAATGGATGACATTATAATTCCCATGTAGGGTTCAGTAATAATTGATTAAAGACAAAAAAAGATGTCTAGGGAACGGTAAAGAGGCAAACATGAGTATTGGGGGGGGGGGAGTAAGGACCTTGCCGTACAAGAGCACTGCGTGAAAGTGCCATTGAACATTTGGTCCATTCCTGTGAAGGAGGACCGAAGCAGCCGAGGGACTCTCAGCCTGGACTGCTTTCTAATTTAGGTTTACAGACCATGCCAGCTCTGAGAGCTGACCTCTGTCTCTGATGGGCTGAACCTTCAGCTGCTCTTTCCTCCTACGCTGCCCCTGCTATACAATTCTTTCCTACCACCCCTCTGTAGGTAGGAGTCTGTCGGTGCTCTCTTATTGGCTGCTGGGGTGACAGGGGGCACTAGTCTGGGAGACAACTCCTTGTTGCACCCCAGTTCCCTAAACTGATCTCACCCACTGGTCCTGGCATTATGGCTACAGTATCTGGTACCCCATATAACAGCTGAGTCAGGGTCTCCTTCCAGGCCACCACAGGACTGCAGAACCTGTGAGGTTTTAGACTTGCTAGTTGACAGCTCTTACTGAACAAACAAATTTTACAAAGCAACAGAGTTAGTTTTAAAAACCGTTTTTAAAGAAAGCAATGTTTAAAAAATAAGTTAATAAAATAACACCTCTTTTCCCTCCTGGCAAACAGTGCTTTACAATTATTGTTTAAAACAAGGTGTCAACTTAAGAATGGTGTTTATAATTAGCTTCATGTAAAAAAAGTAATATTTATTAAATGTTAATTACAGGAATGTAAGAAAACAAAACAGTTTATAATCCTACCACCCACAGATTAGCACTTGTTGAAATCATGTCATTGTTTTTAAACTTTCCATTTTTCAGCACAGTGAGAACATGTTTAATTAATTTTCTTTCAAACTGAATCTAGCTTCCTGTCAGTTTTAGCTTCTAGGTAATGCCAGTTCTTAGTGGCTAGGCTGGTTGTTGCTTTCATGTCTATCATGGGACATTTCTAACATGCCTTTAGAGGAAAACCAAAGAGAAGAATACAATGTGTCTGTTCTGCTAACTCTCACAACTCTTGGTTAATCCTTGGTTAATCTGGCTCTCGGGAATGGGGTTCTTTTTATGTATAGAACAACACCACCCCTCTCCCATTAAAGAATCCTGAAAGGACTGAGAACTTCCTTGTAGCTCTGCCTTTCCAGGTAAAGACCCTGAGGCAGAGAGGTGAGCCAAGCAGAGTGCCCAAGTCAGGCAGATGGAATTGAATACCCATCTGCCTGCTACGCACAATGGGCAGGTTGCTTGACCTGTCTCTCAGTTGTCTCTTCATCCAGAGAACATTTGAGGATTAGAGGTATCTTACATGAACTCATAACACCCATTCCCTCTCAGGTCCATTCTGTTTGTTTAAAGTAATCCATCAAATTAGTACCACAATAAAGCCCCTGCCTAGGTTCCCCTAGGCCAGCCACACTCAGTGTCATGGCTAGTTACCTTTCTATTATCCTTGTAACGTCTTACTTTGGACTTATTGTAGAATTAGCTCACCATCCACCCCTCAGTGGTCCCCATGCAAGCTTACCTGTCATTTTCAGTTATCTGCTAACTGTCAAGCATGTGATACTCCAGTCAGCTCTCTGCTTTGTGTTTCTAACATGATACCTACATTTGTCAACCAGGCTTCTGTGCTCCACCCCTTACATGTAACTGTCTTTTATCTAGCAACTTGTATCTGTCCCTGTTCATCAGCTCTCTCTTCAAATTTGGAAATTTATGTTTTCTCCAAAATACATGCTTCTCTTCTTAATAATAACCACCATGTACCTATCTGTTGATTATCTCATCCATTTTGTCTTCTTCTGTCCACCACCCATCCATAGAAAGCTATTGGCAACTAACGACATCTTTGTACCTCCCGACGTTTACCTATCATCTTGCCGTTTCAGTTCTGGCTCTGTCTTCTCCCAGGTTTCCACTGTCACATTACTGTGATTGAAAGAAATAAATGCCAGGGTTGTCCCCAGCCCTGAATTTGTGAGGCTCACCACCCTCTTTCTACTTCTGACTTCTCTGTACTCTGTGTGTGTCTGTTGTGACCCTTCCCCCATTCTCCCAGAACTCACAGTGTCCCCCTTGCCTTTCCTAATATGCATCACATTTTGCTATTGTGACCTAGTTACCTGTCATGTCCATATGTCAATCTGTAGATCAGCTGCATCCATCTCTCGGGGAGATCTTAAAATACAGGGATACCCAGGAAATGCTCTTAGGACATCCAAGATGCAGTCAAAGAGAGAAACATTTCCCACGGCTCACTGGGTAATTATGGTGAACAGTATAGGTCTGAGCATCTTGGTTCTGGGAAACAGAGGTTAAATGTATTTCCTCATGGGATCCAGCACAGTGCCTGGCACAGAGTAGATATATGTACTGAATAAAAGCCAGGAATGGGGTTACAGAGATGGCTTAGTGGTTATGAGTACTGGCTGTGCTTCTAGAGGACTGGGATTCAATTCCCAGTGTTCACATGGTGGGTCACAACCACTCTAATTCCAGTGGATCCAGCGCCCTCTTCTGGATTCTCTTGGAACTGCATGCTTGTGGTACATATACAGGTAAAACATTCATACATATAAAAAAATTTTTTTCCAGTCAGGCAGGCTGGTGTACACCTATAATCCTAGCACATGGGAGGTAGAGGCAGTAGTCTCTGAAACTCAAGGTCATCCTGAGCTATACTGAAGCTGACCAGGTTTATGTCAATCTGTAGACAGATTGAAACCCTGTCTCCAAACAACACTTAACATTCAGGTACATTTGCTTTGATCCCACACACTCAGCCAGCCTTATGAATTACTCCTTTGCCCCCTGCCCTGGGTGCTTCTTCACTGTTTTGCCCCTTTGGTTGTCCAGACCTACTGTCATACCTGATTATTGGTTTTGATGATACAAAGACAGGCTATAGATAAGCCTCAGAGGAGAGCCTGTGCTGGCATAGCTCCAGCTTGAGTTGTTGGGTAGCCTGAGGTACCTGGTACTGAGCTATATAGCTTAGCTAGGAGTTGTGTTCATGCAGGAATGACCAGGGAGGTGTTCATTCCAGGAGGTCGAAGGATGAACCCTGGGCCACAGCCAGCTCTCCCTTCTGGCTGTACTCCTTTGCATCTCACCACTGTGGTATAGTCCTGGGGTATGGCCAAGAAGCTTGCATTCACGTGGCTGCTTGGCAAATCTAGACCTAGGCCAAATCAGCACCTCTATCACCATGAGGGTGTGTTCCCACCATATGTGATACTGGAGGCTGAATTCCATGGACACCAAAAGGCCAAGTAATACCTCAATCCTGTTCTTGGCTAATTTCGTGTCCAGTAGCCCCTAGAATAAACTAGACCAGCAATGTCTCTCTTTCTTTTTTTTTTTTTTTAGATTTATTTTATTTATATGAGTACACTGTAGCTGTCATCAAACACACCAGAAGAGGGCAACAGATCCCACTACAGATGATTGTGAACCACCATGTGGTTGCTGGGAATTGAACTCGGGACCTCTGGAAAAGCAGTTGGTGCTCTTAACCACTGAGCCATCTCTCCAGCCCCAGCAATGTCTCGTGACCTTGTCTGTCTTTCACTTTTGCTGAGCTGTGAGAAAAGCAGGGCATTTGGTCTTGGGCCTTGGAGAGTCTTCACATAATGATGGAGGCTACTGCACATATAGATAAGTCTATACATGCCTGCAGGACAAGGATAGGGTGAGTAACTGAGTCCTCTTAAAAAGTTACAGCTCAGGAGGAGGGGGGATCAGAGCAGACCTGATAGGTGGGAGGTCCCCAGCTGGCTTCTGGCCTGGAAGATTTGGAAGAATGTGTAGGATTATAGGGTGGTGGGGGGGGGTGGGGGGACACATAACAAAGATTGGAAGAGAGCAAATTAAAATAGAGATGGAGGTGTTAAGACCAGATGCCATTTTGAGGCTTGAGAGAAGGGAGGGAAGGAGTTCTTGGAAGGAGTCAGGTATTTCTTTACCTACCTATGGGTTTTCCTCACAGACACTCAAGGTGGGTGCTTCCTGCCATGGAATGTCCTGCATCTGGAGGGACGGGTACGCAGGAGATATCCAAGTGATTTGAATTTTAGGGAAAAGTCAAAAGTTTGACAGTAACTCACTGTGGCTCTGGGATGACACACCCCTTCTTCCAAGTCCTGGCTCGGGCTTTTCCATATTACTATAGCCTAGAAGTCCCGTGTAGTGGGTGGGGTGAGGAGGAGCTAAGCAAGACTCTCTGAGATGCTGGGACACAGGCCTGAGAGGCAGATGAGTTTAGTACAGCAGGGGAGAGGGTCTAGGATGGGTGGAGGGAGCAGGATATAAGGTGGCTCTGGAGGAGTTGGGGTGACCCCAGCTTGGGGGAATGAGGGTTGATCTGACTCTGAGAGCAGGAAGTCTGACATGATCAATTGATAGGAAATAGATCCCCCAAGAGAGGGCAGGGAAGAGAGCAGGCTGAACGGTGGTGTGATTGATGTATCCAAGCTGCCGTCTATTCTAAGGACTTTCTCTGTGTCTGAGGCCGACAGACTAAGGAGACATGCTTAAATTAAAGCAGAAGAGAGCGCAGTAGAACATAAGGAGGAACTTCCCATGTCAGAGTTACAAGATCTTGACAGGGATGTTTGGACTTCTTAAAGCCAGGACAGGGTCCTCCCTGGAAAGTACATAGGCACCTGGAGCTGAGAGGCTGAGATGGGGGGAGGGGTGACTGAGGTGAAATGACCCCTCCTTTGTTCAGAACAGCTGATTACTCAAAAGTTAAGTGTGGTCGCCAAAACACTAACAGGAGCTGTTTTCCCCTTATTTGTAAACTCACTGCCCATCCACTCATGAATGTCATCCACTCATGTGTGTCTCCACCATAGCGTATAGTGATCTGTCCTCCGAGGAAGTGCTGTGTTGGCCCATTCAGAACAGTCTCTTGCTCTTCATCCTGCCTCACTCAAGCTGAACAGTGCCCCTGCTACAAAGGGTGCCTCTCCACCAGCTTCCTCCAGCGAGAGGTTAATGCACTCGCTCTTGCTTCCTTGTGCTCTTTCTGGTTTCAAGCTCCTGTGTGCAAATCTATCTAGTCCAGTTTTATTTCTGTTGCTGCGACTAAAATATCCTGACAGAAAAACAACTCAAGAGAGGAAAGAGTTTATTTGGTTACAATTTCAGGTTATAGTCCAACACTGAGGAAGTCAAGACAGGAAGTCAAAGCAAGTACTTGCACGTAGTAGGCCTGCTAGCTATTCCACACAAGGTACCCTTTAACCATGTAATTCACTGTACAGCCAAAGAAAGCATCAGGAACCATGAAGGATGCTGCTTTCTGGATGGCAAGCAGGATTGTGCTCACCTAGCTTTCTTACACACTTCAAGACCACCTGCCCAGGGAATGGTGCCGCCCACAGTGGGCTGGGTCTTCCCACATTAATCAACAATCAAGAGAGTTTTCTACAGACATGGCCACAGGCCAATCAGATTTAGGCAAGTCCTCAATTGAGATTATCATCTCAGAAAATTCTTTTGTGTGTTAAGTTGGCAGTTAAAGCTAGCCAAGATGGTTCAGTTTCTCCCAAACCAACTAGTGCAGAATTAAGAACTGATGCTCATGACAGCCTGGTCTACTTAGGGAGTTCCAGGCCAGGCCAAGCAGAACTACATAGTGAGACCTTATCTCAAAAAACCCAAAACGAAACCAAATCAAAACAGCACCCCTCCCCCCCCCAAAAAAACCAAACCAACCACCCAACCAACAACCAAACAAAACCCTCTTGCAAAAGCACATCCACTAAAGGGCTCTGTATTTTAGAGTAGCTCTTTCCCAGTCCTGTTTCTGATTCCTTCCAGCCCCTCTTCTGCTGATTCCTCCCATTTCCCTGGTACCACTTGTTTGCAGTACAGAGTTGGGTTACTCCACCTCTGTATATCTGGATGGCCATACCTGAACAGGCCTTCTGGGTCTTGCGACTCAACTCCAAAGCCAGAGAGGACACTGCTTAGTCTCCTGGAATCCAGGAATGTCCAGTCAGGCTTTCAAAGGCCAATAAGAGTTCCAGATTACATAACCCAGGGCAAAATGGGGCATCTCAGAAGGGCCTATCTGGCTTCACCAAGAAATTGGGAGATACACAGTAAAGGGGGATTCAGGAGATCACAGGAGCCTCTCCCCCAAACCACAGGGGTCAAGCTTGGTGGGCGGGGCCTCCAGCCAACATTTCTGGTATGTTTTAGGGGCTGAGAGAAGTGAATATATATTGGTGTCAGGGTGAGAGAATAAAAGTTAAGGGAACAGAGGTTTAGGGGTTCAGGTCCATTCCCTTCTGTCTCGTCCATGCATAGATTTTTGTCTCCCATGGCTGTGACCGCACCGTACCAACATTGTTCATTCTGGCTTTTGTTCTACTATGAAGTCACAACTGTCTCTGCTATTATAGGATTTATAAACAGCGTCTGGATACCCAGACCAGAGCTGCTCTGCAGAAAACATCCAGGCTGCCGAAGAAGAGGGCTATTCTGGGGGAGGGGGGATCTTTCTTGTCCCAAGTGCTTTTTTTTTTTTTTGAAATAGGGTCTCATGTAATCAAGGCTGGCCTTGCAGTCACTATATACTGGAGGATGACCTTAAACTTCTTATCCTTCTGCCCCCACCTTCCAAGTGCTGGGACTATAGACATGTATTATCACCTCTCCTTTGAGTGGTGTTGAGGTTAGACCACAAGGCTTGGTCTAAGCAAGTACTCTACCAACTGACCTACAGCTATAACCCGATTGACTTTAGTTCTCTTATGAAAACAAATACTTGGGATTTCTTTTGTGTGGTGTACCGGGATGCTGCCCAGGCTTGAAGCCTTGTCCTGGGCTCTACTCTGCCACTGGTAATTTTGTTCTTTGGGAGAGAGTTGACTGGCAAGGGGTAAGGGAGCCCCTGTCTCTGGGTGCTGCCCACTGCCCCTTGCAGCCAGCCCACTTGGACTTGTCAGATATGATGTCCTGTACACAGCTCTGAGTCATTCACAGAAGGCAGGGTAAGCTCATCCACCCACTGGCTGATGCAGTCACAATATGCTCTGGGGTAGAGGGCAGGAACTGGGCTGACCGCCAGTGGTGTGCTGAGAACACCAGGCTTAGGTGGGCATGGAATCCAGAAGTCCTGAGCTCAGAGCAGCCAACGTCCTTCCCTGTCTACCTGAGAAGAGGTGCACAGGCTAAAAGTTTGAACCCTGCCTTCGAGAGCAAGGAAGGAATCCCTTGTCCTAACTTCATTTGCCAAGGCTGGGTGCCTGGATGCTCCCTGGACCAGCTTTCTTGTCTTGAGCTAGTGGCATTTGGAACACTGAGCACCAGCATTCCCACCTCCAACCTAGTGGCAGGACAGATGGCTCTGGCTCAGTGGAGGCCTCTGTGAGCAGGGATTGTGAGGAGAACCTTCAAGGCCTCTATGACAGAAGAAGGGTGTGTGAGGTTGGCACATCCCCGGCCTGAAACCATCCTACAGCCAGGATACCATGCCCACTTCTCACCTTTGCTGCTATACACGCATCTCTCCAAGGGCTGCCTTCAGCCCTGCCCTGAGTTCTAGATCCCCCTCCAGCAGTCACTGCAGTTGCCAGGATTGAAATGTTCACCACCACGGTACACAAACAACTTACCAGTGCCGTCTGCATAGCCACAGCAGGCAGCCCCTGCTGGTTTTAAGCTGTGCTGATGATATTCTCAGGAAAACACCAAGACTTGCAACTCCATTGCCCCACATCCCCTACCCAAGGGGTCTACTGGCACAGGAGTCCAGGAGGTGCCTTGGAACAGCAAAGAGTTCCAAAAGCATCTCTCCTATGGATGAGGGGTGTGAGTCCTGCTAGCACCAAGGAGGATTTGGGCCTGACTGGCCCACAAGGCTGAGTAAGGAGATGTGCAATCAAAGCAGAATGGAAGTACTGAGGGTACACAGGGATCCACCTACAGGAGGATGTGTGGGCTGTGTGGTGGACACCCAGTAATGCTGGGAGGGATGATTGGAGCTAAGAGAAAAGGAAGGAAGGATGGTAGAGATGGAACTAAATGGGCCTTCCTGGAGATGCCTAGAACCACAGGCCTGTTGTGTCATCATGGAGGATGCTGTCCCCCTTGTACAAGCCTCATACAAGGCAAGGCTCCCTAGTACAGAAGTGGGGACTCCCTATGTTCAAATAAGCATTCACTTCTGTCCTCCAATTTTCTTCCAACTGTTCCTTGTGCGACCTGTGTCATCTAGATGGAGCATGGGGGTCAGTGCTGTTGGACCCCTGTGTGTGGGGTAGGGCCTCAGACAGAACTCTCATGAGGAGGGGATAGGACTTGTCTGTCCAAGGTCAAATGATCAGGGGCGGATTTTAGCCCTGAGGAGTTGGCACCTGAGGGACTGGGGTTCCCTACCACATAGCTCTGGCCTGAAGTGAGTAGGAAAATTTCACACAGTCCAGACAGCATGTGAGCTTACAGTATCTATTAATGGTTCTGGGATCTTAGATGTCATCTGGCTGTCACAGGCCATGTTCAAACCTCCTCCAGGTTATGAACCTGTGACTGTCTCCATGTGGCAGTGTAAGGCCAGCACAGGAGACGGAGTATGCTTTGGCCCCTCTGGCGATGAGTACATCTCTGGACATTGGCAAAGCCCTGGCCTGTTATGCTCTCTTCTGCCTGGCCACTGTGGCTGCAGACACCAGAGACTCAGCAGCCATACCTGCTCCTTTGTCTTTGAGAGGGTCTGAGAAAACTACCTTTATGTCTAGTCCAGTCCTTTCTCTGCCCTCCTCACTTGCATCTGAAGAGCAGTCCTCCAGACCTGTTGGGTGGCAGATGCCTGAAAGAGAACCCTGGCCTGTGTCGCCTCAGGTTCCCCACCTGACTCCCAGCTCAGCTGGAACGTGGAGGCCATCCTGGCTGCTTTGGGTGTTTCTTACCTGTGCCCCTCCCTCCCGGCCCAGGTGAAGGTGTGGTTCCAGAATCGGAGGACAAAATACAAACGGCAGAAGCTGGAGGAGGAAGGGCCGGAGTCTGAGCAGAAGAAGAAGGGTTCCCACCATATCAACCGGTGGCGTATTGCCACGAAGCAGGCCAACGGGGAGGACATTGATGTCACCTCTAATGACTAGGGGAACAATCAAGAGCCCACAAGGGCAGAGCATTGCTTGCTGCTGGCCAAGGCTCCAGGGGGCCCATGCTGGACTCTGGCCACTCCTTAGCCAGGCTGCAGGGAGGCCTCTAGTCACGGCCCCACAGGGCTTGGAGCCTGTGGCCATCACTGTCAGAGGGACAAGAAAATGGGCTGGCTGAGGCCTGGGACTGCTCAGCCTTCTGGTGGAGAGCCTGCTGCTCGGGTGGAGCGCCCGTCACTGCAGCCTCCAGTTGCTCTCCATGTCTCTTTCTTTGTTCTGAGACATTTCTGTTTTAATTTATTTTCCAGGTCCTACTGTAGTTCTTAGTGATCCTCTCATGCTCCCCTTCCCTATGGGAATAATAAAAAAATCTCTCTCTTAAAGACATAGCTATCCATCTTCAACCGTAGAGCCTGGGCTGCTGGGTGCTGGTTCTCAGTGTAGTAGGAGCTGGTCAGCAAGGGCGCTCAGGGCCCAGGAGCCTGAAGGGAAGCCTCATCCACATCTTTCCCAGCTCACGGAGGGTTAGGAAGCAAAAGATTCCTTACATCTGCAAACTCCAGGGGCTTCTCCAGCCGAGGAACATCCAGAGGGAAGGAGAGCTGGGGATGGGTTAAGGAGGTCCCAAGCCCAGCCCCCACACAGATGTGCACCTGTCCTGCAGAACCTGAGCCAGCTTCTTGTTCTGGTTTCTTTTTCAGACACAAGGTCTAACTCTGTTACCCAAACTGGCTTCCAAGTCACAGCAACCCTCCTGCCTCAGCCTCCTAGGTGCTGGATTGTAAGTATCAGCCACCACACCTGGAACCCATGGGCTTGATGGTGAGCTTGCCAAGGTCATCACAGCTCAGGGACACCTTGACCCAACAAAGAAAGGCAAAACAGGCCCAGTGAACTCTTGTCCACCTGCCTTTTAATTTGTCTGTGTGTCCTTTCTCTTTGACACATGTCCCTCCGTCAGGGAGAAGTCTTCATTTTGGGTCCCGCATCTCTTCTTCCTCTGGTTCATCTCATGTCTCTCCTATTCTGCTCATCTGTTCCTGCCTACACAGTGATGTCTGGTCACACGTCAATCCAAGTGCATCCCTCAGTTGTCCCTGCCACTTTTCTGGCCCTAGTCTATCTAGGAAGGGCACAGACATTACGTGGCTTCTGTGAATACTGACGAAGATTCTCCATCCTGTGGCTAGGAGGGTTCTGATCCATCTGACCAGGCAATGGCACCTCTTTCTCCATTCTGTACTGTCCTGACACTTCTCTCCCACCTGTGGCCTCTCCTATGTTGCTCCTAGTGTCCCTGAATGAGCTGTCATGGCTTTTACTGGCTTGTGCTGTTCTCATCTGGGATGTTGGTGAGTACCCTGTGGATGTCTCATCCATGTTGAAGGCCCATTCCTGTTGCCTGGGCCAGGTGCAGAGATCCAAGCACACAACACAGGCCAAGTCCCACTGTCCTACCTTTTTCTACTCTGCCTGTCTTGCTCATGTCCACTCCAATTTCCAGAAACCAAGACTGTTCCTCCTGTCCCTACCTCCATCAAATAAACAGATCCCTCAAATCTTAAAAGTTCTAACTCATCTAAGTCTGAATTAAACCCTCAACAACTCTCCCTGCCAAGCAGTGGGGGAGGGGGAGGGATGAGGGTGTTCATGAACAGGTAGGATGGGAGGAGAGGCTCCCTTTCAGCACTAGTGGTGGGGGACAGAATGGGTGAGCCCTTCCTCTGAAGATCCTAAAGTACTTGGCTGGGGGATGGGGTTGGGTGGGGGATGGGTCCTGGAAGATCACAGCAGAATGCCCCATCAAGAAGATAAAGGACTAGAAGAACCGAAAACCTGCCAATCTTCCTAGGCAGGCCTGCTGGGGCGGGGCGGGGAGCCCCCTCCATCCCCCCCATGTTGTGCCTCTCCCGCAGACGGTAAATATTGGTGTTGTGACTTCATTAATAAAGGCTTCTGTGAGCCTGAAAAACATGGAATCAGGATGAACTATTTTCTGAGCTGTGGGCTTGCCAGGTTTGCTAATTTGGGAGTTTTTGGGCCCTCTCCAGGGAACAAACCAAAGTCTCTCCCAAAGAGACGAAGAGCCGCAGATGCAGCCGAACAGTGAGAAGACAGGACTGCTGCTCCTGCCCGTTCCCGGGGTGGCTCCTCCCTGGAGCGAGGGCCTGCAAAGGGCCAGAAGAGTAGACACTGGCCTCCTTCCCTGCATTTATGTTCGGGTGAGCTCCTGGCTAGGCCTCTCTAAGCAAGCTTGTTTGGCCATTTCTCATCAGTAGCACTGGCCTCCAGAGCCCTGTGGGATGAGGGCCTGATTCTTCTGAGCACCTGTTAAGAGCAGAGTTGCAGGAGCCTCAAGTGTAGCAAGCAGGAGCTCTTAACTCTTGGCGCCCACTCCACGCGCTTCCTCTCAGGGAACAATTGTACTGTTTCCTCTTGTCCTTAGGACTTTCCCAGATTGGCCTCTGGCCTCTCGCCGGCATGCCACCTGCTCTCTTTATCAGTCTCTCCTCACAGGTGCTATGGTTGCTTCCCATGGGGCATCAAGCAGTCTTTTGACTTGAGAGCCAGGCTCTGTCCTAGAGGAGCCAGATAGTCCACAGGCCGCTTTGGGACCCTGCTCCAGGACAGCTACACAGGGGGAGGGGATGGGGGGCAGAAGGCTTAGCAGTGCAGGCCCAGCCAGCTTTCCTGTCAGACGGTGCTGCCAAGGCGGAGCCAGACATCGGGAACAGGTTTAACCAATTACCCGAGCGCCCCATCTGCTGTCTGGGGTTCGTGTGAGGGTGAGTGCATGTGAGGGTGTTTGGAGTGTCTGGGAGGGCTGTGGGCGTGCTCGAGAGTGTGACTGTGTGGGTGGGTGTGGGCGTGTGGCTGTGCATGTGTGCTGTGCACGTGCGTGGCGTGTAGCTGCACATCCTGGCCATGCCCCTTCATTTGTCCAAGACTGAAGCTAACAGCTTCTGGTCTTCCTGCCTTCCCCCAAAGAACTTGGGGTCTCAGTGGACAACCTAGCTAGCACCTCAGCTTCTTGTCACTCTCCTCACGCCTGGGAAGAAGACTTTCAAATCACACATTCAGATGTCCTCTGCTGGGGTGCTCCGGCTGGCGTGTTCACTCTGCCATCCACATTAGAGCGGGATCCTCCCAGCTGCTCCCCCATTCTCTCTCTGATAGGCCCTTGTCCAGCTATGCTTCGTTGTACCAAGCCAGCAGAGTGACAAGTGTACTCAGACCATTTCTCCACCTATGTTGAGCCAGGAGGACACCAAGTGATGGTGTGTGGCGGGGACACCCTCTGAGTCCAAGTTTTAATCTCGGTATAACCCTGACTCTCTGATAAATCTATTCTTGCCTCCTACAAGAGGGCCTTAGACTGTCACTTTGTTCCAGAAGTTGCTTCTATTACTGTCAGCAGGGAACCTACTTCATCTTCCTTTCCTCTCCCCCTTTGGAGACAGGTATCTCAGGCTGGCCTCAAATTTAATATAAACTGAGGATGAACGTGAACTTCTGATCCTGCTGCCCTCACCTGCTGGGATTACCTGAGTGTACCACCATGCTCAGTTTAAGTGATGCTGGGACTTGAACCCAGGGCTTCATGAAATGCTGAGCAATCACTACCACTCATTACACCCCCAATTTCATGACTTCCATCTGCAGAGAGAAAAAAAAAAGCCTTGGAAGGAATACCTTTACATCACTTAGAGAACTTTAGTCCGGGCAATAGAGGGAAGTTGACAAAAAGAAACAATGAATAAATCTGGAAAAGCCATGAGAATGTTGGAGCACTCTTTTGTAACATGGGGAGTCCTTAGTAACAATGGGAAGGCTGTGTAGCCATTCGGTCTAAAGGGGCAGGAGCAGTGACCAGCAGAACCTGGAGAGGACAGCTGGGTAGGGAAAGCCCAGATAGGAGCTATGGTCCTGGATGGAGAGAAGTCCACAGAAGTTGGAGGGCCAGGTGGGTAAAGCCCCCAGTCTTGTTCTGCCGACTCCAGTTTGCTGCTCATGACTCTAATGATGAAGTCAGGCTGCAAGGACTCCCATGAGCCCACCTTGGGGTTGTGAACAGGGTTCAGGTGGAGACAGGGCTCTCCATCCTCCCTGGACACTTCTGCATCCAATGCCTCCTCTCCACCTGCCTCCTGTAATCTCCATGGCTCTCCCGGAGGTCTCAAGAGCTCACTGATGTAGGCTTCAGTCTATCTGTTCTTGAAAACACACTCATGGGTTGCTGACCTTTTTCCTGCTTTTTGTACCTTCTCACTTCCTGCCAGAGTCTCCCTCCTATACCCTGTGAATGCAGTGTCAGGATACCATGACCTAGAGCTTACAACCAAATCTGTGTGAAGAATTACTTTCATGTAGGGCTTAGTCAAATGCTTGCTGTGCAAGCATGCAGACTTGAGCTTGGTCCCCATGTAAGAACAAACAAACAAACAAAACATCAAAATCTCAGTGCTGGGGAGACAGAGACAGGAGGATTCCTTGAAGTTTGATAGCCAGGCAGTCTGGCCAAATAGTTCAGAAAGAGACCCTGGCTCAAAAAATAAGATAGACAGTTTATTTTTATGTAGAGAGGGAAAGATGGGGTGGCTCAGCAGTTATGAGTACACATGGCTCTTGCAGAGGACCTGAGTTTACTTCCCAGTGCCCATGTTGGGTGGCTCACAACTGCCTATAACTCTAGTTCTAGGGGATCTGATGCCTCTGAGGCTACCTAAACACACACACACACACACACACACACACACACACCTCCACAGGCTATGAGCTAGAAGCTTACTGACTTCCCAGCCCACAAAGCTGGTGTTTGCCCTGACCACACTGTGACCATTCAGCTCTCATTGGCTGAGCTTTCTTGGCAGACCCCATCTCTCTTTGGACCACATAGAGGTGGGCTTCCATGGGTCTTGATCCTTGGCCTTCTCTTCTCGTTAACTTACTGTACTCCTAGAGGCAGTCAATAAATGCATCATATGCAAGTCTTTTTCGGGTCTTTGTTTTGGTTTCGAGATGGGGTCTCATGGAGTCCGGTGAGTGTGACTGACTTTGCATTCCTGATCCCCCATCTTCTACCTCCCAAGTGCTGGGATGACAGCAGGCATGTGCCACCTCTACGGGCTTCTAAGTATGCAAGCCTATATATCCAGCCCTTGCTGGTCTCCTGACATCTCCACTTGGCTGTCTTCCAGAAACCTTTAAGAACTGAGATGGAATGGCTGCCTCTCCTACAGATTTTGTCTCCCTCCTGTCCTTGTAGACCCCAAAAATGTAGCATCCTTTTTCCTCAGTTTCCCAAACAGGACGGGGAAGGGGAGTCAGCTGGCTCCCTGCTGCCACACCCTTCTTGGTGACCTGACTTTTCTCTACCTTTGTCTCTACCATGCTGGACCAGGTCCTGACTCTCCCATGACCCTCCCATGACCAAGCAGAGTCCCCTACCTGCAGATGCACTGTATCTCCTGTGCTACCCTCAAATAAAGCCACTCTCTCCACAAGACCTCTGAGGATCCCTCTAGCACCACCCACCTCTCCAGGATCTTGCCTCTGCTCTGGAAACAAACTGAATTGCTTATGGCTCATTCTTGGAGTGTTCAGAGCCTTCTATGCTCCTCTTCCTTTCCCACACTTGCCCAGGAAGAGGAAGAGAGCAATACCAGGTGGCCTGGGGATGGTAGCAGCCCCTCTGTCCTCACTAGGGATGCATGGAGTCTCCAGGGAGAGAATTTGTTGCCTGCTAATCTGTTATCTCCTCTTTCCCTGACCTATTCTTTTTTCATCTCTACTTCCCTGCAGCTTTGTAGTGGGGCCCTGGTTTTCATATTGGCTAAAGAGGAGACCTTAGAAAAGGCTGCCAGAAGTTACCTGGAGGTGTATAGGGGGCAGTTATTGGCCACTGCCATTAGGTTTACCTGGTACTACAGGAAAAGGTCAAAAAGGACTTGGGAGGAGCCTTCTCTTGATTTTGAGGTCAGCTGGAGTGGGGGACAGCGTGCTGAAGGAGGCTCCATCTTGAATACAGAGCCAGGTTCCTTGGGCCTCAGGAAAGGGTCACTCATCACTGTCCTCAGACTCTGCCCCCTGCTCCAGTGTTCTGACTTTCCTTGTCTTTGATTGAGTGGGAGAGAAAAGGCCTAGATCCAGGCCAGTCCATGGGGACTGAGGGAAGGAGAGGCTGCATTCTTCAAGTGTTAATGATCTCCGAGCTGGGCAGGAGCTGAGTTCCCAATCCAGCTAAAAACAACAAACAGTTCTGAGGAGGGATTTGTGTGTCCTGAGAGTCAAGGATTGCTGCCCCCAGTGGGGGCCCATGTAGCCCCATCTTAGCTCTTAGCAAAGAAATTCCCCAGACTGGTAGCCTCCTGACCTCAAGGTATCACTTTGAATAGAGGCTCCAACCCCTCCCTCTTGCCTCTTTCCTCTTCATCCATTCCAGGGGGGCCCAGAACTCTGCCTCCTACCCATACCCTAGATAGTTGGGAGGCATGAGAGAAGGGTTTGCTGCATTCCTGCCAGTGAGCTGGCATTTGGTAAGTAGAGTTCACCAAGTCTGTTCAGAAGTGCCTACACCAGAGGCTGGGGATTGAGCTCAGGTGGCAAAGTGATGAAACCCACTTTTAAAAAGCCAGGGGTCTGGGCATAGTGGTGAATGCCTTTAATCTCAGAGGCAGGTGAGTGTCTATGAGTTTGAGGCTAGCCTGGCCCACATAGTAAGTTCCAGGACAACCAGGACTATATAGAAAGACCTTATCTCAAAAAACTAAGCAAATAAACTAAATGCTGCTGCTGCTGCTACTACTACTACTAATAATAATAACAATAATAATAATGATAATAATAATAAGCCATTTGTGCTGGGTCATGCTTGTAAATCCCAGTACTAGAGAAGTAGAGGCAGGCAGATCCTGAGGTTCGCTTACACCAGTCTAGCCAATTTGGTAAGCTTTCAAACAGTAAGAGACCTCAAAATCAGTGCAGATGGCTCCCAAGGAATGATACACAAAGGTGACCTTTGGCCTCTATACACACATGTACACATGTGCACCTGAATGCTCACAAACCTGTACATATACAAAAGAAAAATACTTACAACAGCCCCTGGCCATGCTGGGACCAACTCTGTCTACTACATGCTTTCCACCCATATCATTTCCTCTCTCTGCAGGGCTGAAAGATGCTCAGTGGTCCCATAGAAGAGGACAGGCCTCCCCATGGGGACTTACAGGGGGCAGTTTGGGAAAGAAACCAGGTCTATCAGGAGGTGATAGTCAGGGTTACTACTGCTGTGATGAAACACCATGACAAAAAGCAAGTTGGGGAGGAAAGGGTTTATTTGGCTTACACTTCCACAGCACAGGTTCATCATTGAAAGCAAGCAGGGCCAGGACCTGGAGCTGACACAGAAGCCATGGAGGGGTGCTGCTGATTGGCCTGCTCCCCATGGCTTGCTCAGCCTCTTACAGCACCACCCACAATGAACTGGGCCCTCCCATATCAATCACTAAGTAAGAAAATATCCTATACCCCGTTTTATGGAGGCATTTTCTCAATTAAGGTTCCTCACCTCTCATATTACTATAGCTGTGTCAAGTTGACATAAAAACTACCCAACACGTGAAGGGCAAGTTGGAAGAGGACAGAGTTTCAGGACTGAGACCACACACACAGAAGGCATCATATCCCTCAGATCCCTCAGAGGTCTCCAGGCTATAGGCAGGCCAGGGTGGTCCCCTCTCCTTCACCCTCCAGCCTTATGAGCCCACACAGCACAAGAACCTACTCAAACCCTAGTGTGCTCCGGTTCCTCAGGGTAAGCCTCTTCAGCAGCCACTCAGCCACAGGGCTTCCTTTGTGATTCCATCTTTCCCCTTTATTTGTGTGGGGGGTGGGGGGTAGGGAGCTGGGGGCTCACATGCTATGGTACACATGAGGGAGTGTGCAGCAATCAGATGACAACTCTCAGGAATCCATTCTCTCCTTCCACCATGGGTTCTTATGATGGATCGCTCTGCCTTGCGTGGCAATCCTCTTTCCTGGCTGAGCCATCTAAGCCGGTCCTTTTCTGTGGTCTCAACACATCTTCCTTTTGCAGCCTCCTGCCCTCACACCATCCTCCTCTTTGCCTTTCCCCTGAACCCTGGGCCTGTGCCTTCCTTGATCCCTGTTTCTTCATTCCTCCCCTCCCACTGTCCTATAACTCACAAAGCCACACCGTGTGTTTTAAATCCATGTTTATTGCCCATAGCCCACTAGTATGACATAAATCACATAAATTGAGACATTTTCTGAGGTTAAAAAGACAGTCTGAAGTCCCTAGGTATGCTGAGGCACACGTGTTGAGTCTCACTCATACCTGCCCAAGGCTAGTAGAAGCTTAGCATGGACCTGCCTCCCTCTGGCCCATCTCCTCAGTGCCCCACCTTTTCCCAGACCGGAGACTTCATAAGACAGCCACAATCAGGAAGTGAGACAGTATGCAGACATCTTGTTTTGGTGGCCATCTTGGCATCCTGAACTTTTGGTTCCTGTACTTTCAAACTGCTTTCTAGAGATGGAAGAACAGCCTTCAAGGGAATGCTTAAAAGTGATCAGAGGAGAGTTGGCCAGGAACATCAGGGCTGGAGAGCCTGCTGTAGATATGCTCTGACTGCTGGCAAAACCAGACCCAACGAGAGGTAATCTGTGCCGCCTTTTTCTCCAGACCTCTTTTTGTCCCCTAGCCTCAGCAAATAGGAACATCTGCATTCACAGAAAGCTTGCCTTATGGAGTTTATAAAGTCAGAACAGGGTTTAACAGCATGGCTGAAGATGCTCAGTACCATTACATGAACTACAGGGACCATCCGTCACAGCAAATCCAAAGGAGCTGCCCCCTCAGCTTGTATTTAGGCGTGTGGCAGAAATCACCTCCCATACACAAAACATACCTATGAGGGGTACTGAGGCCACAGGGACAGGCAGCACAGAGGGAGAGCTGGAAGAGCCTCTGGTCTGCTGGACCTCTGGAGCAGGCAGGCCTGGGTGAGGGTAGTTTTGGTCCCAAGATAAAATGCATAAGGATTTGTTCCAGAACAAGTGGGGACAGAAAAAGCTGGGAATGAACTTTTCAAAAGTGGCTTCAGACCAATCTAGTCTCCAATCAATACCTGGAGACAATGGCACCAATGTCCATGCTCGGCCCGTCTCGCTGCAGCTACACCTGCCTTGATGCTGGCAGGGAACCTGTGACTTTGTCCTTGCTGCCCCATGCCAGCCTTTTCCTGCAACCATACATGTGGACCTTCAGCCTGACCCCTCCTGAGTCAGCTTCCAGGGTCACGAGCCAGGGCTCCCATCCTAGCATGGGCAGATGAAGGCTGTGTAAAGAGAGTGTCTCCTTTCTGTGGGTCCTTTGGAGCAGGAGTCATCTTGCTCAACCCCATCCAGACCCTGCCTCCTCAGCTATCTCTTCCTCTATGGCCTACACATGACAAGATGGAGTCAGGAGCCAGCAACAAGAGGCCCCAAGTCTGCAGCAGTGAGGAACAGCATGTGGGGTGACCCCTATGTTCAGCTCAGGCATCCACACTGCCTCCTCCACAGCCATGAAGTGTTTGGCACAAGTCAAGGTTGGTCAGGATATGGGAGAGTCCATATAGAAGGGCAAGGTCCTTTTGTAGGCCAAGTGCTGGCCATTTCCAGAAGGGCCTGATGCATTTTCCAGCCCAGAATCCACCTTAGAGATATGCGTGGACTGTGCACATCTGAGTGAAGAAGGTAGAGAGGAGCCAAAGGCTTGGAGGGAACCCCAGTTCAGTACTTTGCTTCCAGGCAGGGAATGGAAGCTCAGAGATGTGGGTGGCTTGTCCATTGCTGATGGGATCCACCTCTCAGGCAGTTGCCAGGGATCTGGCTTTGCATCCTGAGGCAGGAGACTCCTCTATTGCAGAAAGGTGTCAGGTGTGACAAACAGCTTCAGTGGCTGCAGACTGGACCACAGTGAGCTCAGCCCACCTTTGTCCCAGTAGGAAACTCTAACTACTTCTGGAAAAGAACCTTCCTTGTTCTCACATAACAATGTTTCTTCTTAGGGATCCCTGACTAAAGCTGGGGTGCTCTCAGGGGCCTGGAATCAATAAGAGCTCCATGAAAGATGACCCATTCCTGGGGTCACTGACTTTCCTCAGCTCTGGGGTAGGTAGGAGCTGGGTACATTCAGAGCCTGGTGTTCCCAGAATCTTCCAGGGATCTCTAGTGCTCCTTGATCAAAGGAGCCAATTCCTGAGAACCTTGGTTATGGCTCATCCTGTGGGGTACAGATCACCTCCCCTCCCTTCCCTTCTCTAACCCAAGGGACCCATCGGGCCTAACCATTATACTTCCCTCCCACCAATCCAACCCAGTTCCCAGGCTCCTCTGGCTCCCACCACCTGTCCACCTGCTGCTTCTGGTCAGCTGCAACCAAGGCTCAGACTTGCTTCTAATAAAAAAAAAAATTAAAACAAAAAGAAGGAACATATAAAAGGATACTACTTCTACCCCAGGAGCACTCTACAGTTCTTTTGCTCACACGAAATTGTGCGGAATGGAGTTTAGCTCACCCCATGTAAGGCCCAGAGATGCACTTGATTCTTTTTGTGTAGGAAATGTGTCAGAATTCCTCTCCCCTATGTTAGAATGTGAATGGTTAGTCTCCCTACCGATGGAGGCTGACTGCGTTCCTGGCAGCCCCTCCCTGCAGTTACAGCTTTATGAGACTTCTTTCCCCACCCCAGTGCCCGGCCTGGAGAGTGCTGTGTTCCCAGGCCGGCTGATCTCACTCACAGCCCCTTATTGTACACCACTGTCCGGCTGCTTGTAGCCCGGGCTATCTCAGGCTCCAATTGGGAGGTTTCGATCTAAGGAGAGAAAGAAAAGAGTGTAGAGGTGGGGAGTGCCAGGAAAAGAGGTGCAATGGATCCAAGGCCTGACCTGGTACCCTCAGGTCTGTCCCTCTGCGTGTCCCTTACCCAGTGCCTATGTGTCCTAGCAAGGAATATGCATGCTTTCTCTTCTCTCAGCTCAGGATTAGCCTCTTTCTCGTCTAGATTCTGGGTTCCCCTCACTGCAAATACCCTAGTTCCTCTTACTGCAGCCACATTTGAGAACCCATCTTCTAGTACTCCTTAAGTCTTTTCCCTGGCAGTACCCCATTCTCTGCTCTCCTGCACCAATAATACTGCAGGTCTCAGATATTATATCTATGTCTACACA